TTCATTTATGTGCCCTGAACAAATTAATCAAGGAAATTAATTCTTATTTATAATTAATCCTTTAAAAAACAGAAAATGTATATTGAGACACACTCAAAATCTTATATAATATGAATAAAGAGTAATTATTAGTAATTCTCTACTTTAGAATATATTTTAAAACCTGGGAAAGGCCAAAAATATATCTGAAAATAATGCTAGGAATATGTATTTCCATGTAGCAATAAAACCCAAATAATATTAAGCAGTGTAAAGATACTAAAGGTGTATAAATTTTGGAATGATTAGATAAAACTAATACAAAAGAATGCTAACATTTTCAATATAATTTGTAACTACTATTTTATTTTGGCTTATTTGTTTTCTTAAGTGTTTCTTTTTTTGTAAGATTCAAAAATCTAACATTCACAATTATTATAAATCCTAAAGAAAGGGTTTTTTAAAAATTCATTTCCTGAATGAAAAGGGCACGGGAAACTTGTCAAATCACCAGGTAATGAAATCTCTACAAGCAATCAACCAAGCTCAGACACCACCAAGGACTCCACAGTTCAACTCAGTTTCATATACAGTCTCTTCTAATAACCTGTTGAACTTAATCAGCTTTTACTATAAATTTTATCTTACTTTTCAACATTTATTTCAGAGATGTGCTAAAGAAAGTTAAGGAATACTTCATTGGTGCACTTTTCAGTATAGATTTTTTTTGCAGATTCTGTGGATTCGCACAGTGCTTGATCAACTATAATCTGATAACAAAAATAGCAACCAAATATAGACCTTTATTGTTCAAGTACAATTCATGAATAATTATTTCATCCTCCTCTTCCTCATCGTTATTATTGTTGTTGTTGTTGAGGAACTCTTAATGCAATTATTGAATCAAAGACCACAACTGGGTATGGAATGTGTATAATACAGTCAATATTTAAATATCTAGAAAGTGTTATATCAATGTAGAAATATTTGTTGAACTGAAAGTTAAATTTAACAATCGTTTAAGAGCTACAACCATAGAAAAATGTTCAGATTTCTGATTTTAATAGTATCTTTGACTTTTATAATTATCAGCATATTAAGTTAAATTCTTTTAATAATAATTTGGTCAATAAATTAAAATGTATTGCTGATGCTGGTTCTCAGTATATATAATCTTTTAAAGCTGTATTTATAACATTTTGAGATATGCAAACATTCCAGCAGTAAATTGTTTTACTGGAATTTCTACTAAATTATTATTTATATTATTTATAAATAGACTATTTATAAAGAAAACTGCCAACAATATAAGCTGTTTAAATTTATGGTCATTATTATAAATTATATACAGTCTATATTATGCCTTCTCTTAACAACAACAACAACAAATAGCACTCTAGATTAAACCTTTCATAACTGAAAAAAAAATAAATCTCTTCAAGTCTCAATTTTGTGAAGCAGGGTATGTACCTGTAAGAATATTTATTCCTAAAGGTGCTGAGTATATTAAAAGGAATCAGTAGATGTTTAAAACACTTCTCTGGAACTAAAATCATTGGCTTTCTAATTTAGAATTTCTCTCAGGTAATATAAAATGATTGATTGCTTTTATTTCATGTAACATTTGATTTTTGCTTTCATTAATCATGGTCTATTTTAACCTAAATACATTTAGGATCTGTCACAAGAAGAGTGGTCTCTTTTAAATTGTTGTAAAGTAATGAAAAGACATAATAAATCAGTCTTATTTATATCTTACCAAAGCATAACCTTTACTCTACCCAAGTAATTTAGACAATTTCTGCCTGGGAGTTTTTCCAAATAAATAAATAAAATTATATTGTATTGTCATTTCCTAAAGTTTTTAAGGAATCAGATGCATGTAAAAAGGAAAAAAGCTAAGGGTTTGTTTTTTTTACAAGGCCTAGTACTTAAACTTAATTTTGATTTACACTACAAGCTTATTTTTTTGCACCACACTGCTTCTATAAAATAATTCAAGTTACCAGGTGTTACCAGATGTTCCATAAAATTAAACATTGCCTACAATAATTCCTAAAAAAAAAAAAAAAAAAAGTTACCAGGTATTCCCTACTTAAATATCTAAGAATTATTTCAAGTCCTACATTCCTGCATTCTGTTTCTATCAAGGATTAACCTGTTGTAGAGCAGTGATGTCTTTAGTATTAAATAGCATACTGACTCTGAACACTGATTTTAATGCCAATCTTTTATAAACCTACAGTTAAAGGTACGAAACTATGGAATGGAATCTATTTTTATTGTTCTACACTTTTGGATTGTTTTAACAACAAAAATGTATAAATAAATATCATCATCATATAGGTCAGGGATGTCAAACTGTTGGCCCACAGGCCAGATGCGTCATGCCGAAACCACGCCCATCCCATTGCCAGCAATGGAAAAAAAGTCCATTAATTCCAGAAAAATATAATTCAAAAATCATAAAAAAGTCTTGCTGCACATTTTAATACAGTACTGCTTTGTTTCTGGTCCATGCATTAATATCACATTTAAATCACAATAAAGCATTTTTAAATCCTTACACAGTGCAAAATTGTTTAATACTGTTTAATAGAATTGTATTTAAATAAATATTGATATGGAACTTACTATTTTTACATGAGCTTAGGGAATATGTTATATATAGCTCCATGCCCAAAATTATGATTTATACAATATTTTTTTAATGTTTATATATACTTCTACAGGATTAAAGTTTTGAACTAGAACCTGGAGGAACCATGATTTCTAATCCTTCCTGTCATGGAAATTTGGGTGACTTTATTTTCTTGAGGCCAATCATTCTCAGCTCAACACACTTCACAGAGTTGTTGTTTGGGAGAAAAACAGAAGCATTGTGAATACTGTCTTGAGTTGTGCAAATAAGTGGGATTTATATCTAATATATATATATGTGTGTATGTATGTATGTAAGTATGTATGTATGTATTTATGTATGTATATATATGTATATATATAAATACATACACACCACAAATTATTTCAGTTATATGGAAAGCACTGTGCAAAACTCATTCTGACTATAGTGTCAGAGTAAGAATGTTCAACCAATTTAAAAACAATTGAATGAAGCTGTCTTTACTATCTTTACTGTGAAAAAATAAGGGAGATATTTATATCTTCTTAATATCATAAAGACAAAATGCAGTAAGAAGTATAATAATAATAATAATAATGCAGGACAGTATAAATTTTAAAAATCCATAATCACAAGCAGTGGTATTACTACAGCTTTGCTGACGGAAACAAGTCCAGGACACTACAGCTCCTAATTAAACATCATTTGCAATTTTAAATGTCTTGTATCTACTTATGTAATTAGAAACTATTCCTATTTAAATTTCATTTATATTTCTTTATAAACTATCTTGATATAGTGTAATCTTTATCAAAGCATAAGTATCATATAAGAAAAGTACTGATTTAAATAGCTAATACCTATTTAATATTTTAGTATCTTTCACTGATATTTCCACGAATAAACAAAACAAAATAAACATCAACCCTTGCTATATCCAAGCATTTTCAATATAATGTGGTTTAATATAGGGATGGGTGCCTTCCAGATGTCTTAGACCAGGGATCCCCAACCTGTCCCGGGCTACGGGCTCTTGGCCAGTGGGCCATGGAAACAGCTGGCCGGTGCACACACACATAGGTGCGCATTCCCCCCACTCGCGCTAGCACCCACAGCCCCGTTTGCGCATGCAGCGGGTGCAAAGGGGAATTCTAGCGGGGCGGGTGTCTGCAACCCATTTGCCCATGCGCTGCTAGCCTGGATGGTTTGTGTGGCTCATTCGCACATGCACAAATGGGCCGCTATCCACCATAGGGGGGTGCACAGCCATTCGCGCATGCGCACAGCACCAGCATGCATGCAACATACGTGAATGGAGCTGCTAGTGCTGCGCCAGTGTGTGTGGCCCCATGTGTGTGCGCACACACATACCAATTTTGAAGCTGCTCTCCTTCCCTCCGTTCCTCGAGCCTGGAAAGGTTGGAGACCTCTGTTTTAGACAACCACTTTCATAATCCCTTACTGCTGGACATACCAGAGAGGATGATGGGATTTAAAATCCAAAGTATCTTATCCTAGTCTATCAAGTTTATGGATTTTGCTGATTTTGTGCTGTGGCACGTAAGGTCGCAAAGAGACAGACACGATTTAGCAACTGAACAACAAGAACAAAATACCACACTTCGGCATGGAGGACAAAATTTTTTTCCAAATTCATCACTGCAGTATCCCACTATATCATAAGAAAGGTTCACAAGAACAAATGCCCACCAAAGTTCAGTGGAAGGAAGCTGTATTCATTATCATGAACAATACATTAATTTTGGGTAACTAGAATTCAATTTTCTTCTATGTAATGTACATTGCCCAGAATTGCTTCTGTGAAATGGGTGGCCAAATACACAAGATAAATAAATAAATAAATCCCTGGGTATCCCTGCATAGCACTTTTTAATACACCACTACCTTAAAACTATGTTTTCATTTTGGGAAAAATTGTTTGCATTAGATGCCCAGTATTAATGAGATGTGAGATATAAAATCCTACTAGAAATATAACTTATATTACAATTTATATTACAAGTATCAACAAAGCACTTTAATCCTCCTAATCTAGGAATCAGGACGTTCTGCAATATAATCCAATTATATAATTTTTCTTTTGGAATTACTTGATGCTAACACAGAACATTTTAAATGTTTAAAACTGAAATGAAAAAAATAGCTAGTGAATCAATTTTCTTTGATTCTGAGTAGCATTTTTTTTCTGCTTTCTAGATTCATAAAAGGTTTATCAGGTAAATACAGGAGGTTTCCTATACAGTATTACAGGCTTCCTAAAGCTACTGAATCCTTTGAGATCCTGTTCTACACTAAAATTCAGTGATAGCAAATATGAATGAACTTGCTGCAAATATTTTTATTTTTCATTGATAATACCTATGTGAAACTTGCCCACCTGTTGCTGGTGTAGGAAGGAAGGGTCTCTTGGACTTAGTCCCACATATCGATTGGCTTGGGATGTACCTGAAGCTGTATAGGCTGATTAAGGAAGAACAAAACATATTGATAAAGATAGAAACCTACCTCATATTATTCAAATATGAGAGACTCAGAATTATGAAGCATGAATCTGGTTAAGGGTATAATTCAAGCCTGCCTATTGACTTCAATGGAATCTGCACGAAAATAGAACTACATTATCAGTAATAAAGTTTCTAAATCATTTAATTATTTTCCAGTTTCACTGAAGAGAAGTTAATTCAATCTGATTCTTATCTTCTTTCACCATTTTATATTAGAATTCTACTAGTGGAGGCACAAGCAAGGTAAAACTAATCCTTAAGACTTTGCGTAAGTATGGGTATAAGGTACATTGCTTCTAATACTATTAATACACAAAATGTACATTTTGATTTAAGAGTTATTTTTATGCGGCATCAATGATTTTTTTTCCAGGGAGAGCTAATTATTTTAAATAACTGGTAGAAACTATAATATTATGATCACTATTCAAAATTAAGTACTTGTGAAGTGTAAAAACTGATCTTCAGCTTAGGAGGTTCGGGGTTATTTAATCATGTGCGTGAAGTTTCAATTCACTTACAAAAGTGATTTATGACCAGTTTTCGCACTGACAACTGTTGCAACATCCTAATGGTTAGATGATCAAAATTCAGACTCCCAACAATCAGCACATATTTATGATGGTATCAGAGTCACCAGTGTTTATCTGATTAGTATTTGCGATTTTCCCAGCCGGCTTCTAACAAGCGAAGTCAAGGGCAGAAGCTGGATTCACATATTGAAGGCATGATTCACTTAACAACTGCAGTGACTGGCTGAATAACCATAGCAAAAAAGGTCATAAAATCCAGCATGACTCACTTAACAACTCCTCTGCTTAGCAATGGAAATTCTGATTCCAACTATCATAAACTGAAGACTATCTGTAGTCTACCGAATGAAATTGGTAGTTTTGCGCTACTTCTTAAATTTGAGTCACTGTATCCAAATTTTATAAAGATTTGACTGCCATAACCAAATCATTAAAGAATGAAAGATAAGTAAATAAAAGGTGGACTAATTTCAAAAATACAGACTAACTTTTTGCAAAATAATACAAATATAATTTCTTAAAGAATTACCATTAAAAATCCACTGAAGAGCTACAATAAATGATGTAGGAATATGGGTGTTCTTAATTGTAATGAGAAGAATCATTTTAATATTTTTTTCATAAAAAGTTTTAGTAGATCAACTTTGACATGTAATACTTAGCCAAAAATATATAATTAGAGATAAAAGTTGGTGGTCTTTTTGTGCCACGGAACTTATAAGCACTGATTTATTAGAATTAAATGCGAGTATATTCCTCAGTAAAACTCTATCTTAGATAGCAGTGACACTCTTCAATAAAAGAAAATATAAACTATAATCAATTTTAGATGTCATCTGTTCCATTTTTCATACATTAAAATGTACACATTAAATAATTACCACTGAAAAAGTAAAATCTTCATGCAGAAATAAAATTTATTTATATTTTGCTATTGTAATATGTTTCTTCTCTTGAAGACCTATAATGAGTCCTCAAAGAAATACTATTACAATGTTTAATATTCTCTATGTGCGTTTAACACTATTTAATGTATTATTTGAATAATGGTTCCTAAGTGGCCTGTAGAGATGGAACATTGGTAAGATTTAATGAAAGCTCTAACAACCAAATCAAATCTGAACCATATTCCCATTCTGTTCTGATAGATGTGGTACTTTGGATCACTAAAAGCTTCTTTGCTGCTTTAAAGGGTGAATTTCAGAAATGAAAAATTATAAGATAAATCATTTTGAAATGATTTCCTTATACCTGATTACCTTATATTAATGTTAGATAATCATAGTAGAACCAATCTAATTCTCTGAAACAGTGCTTATAGCGGTTACCATCAACCAAGAGTGAGCCTCTGCCAGAGTCCTGGATGCACTGTATGTCAAAGTTAAACTTACAAAAAAAAATCCACAGACTTAAATCTATTGCTGGCAGAAGAATCTGAGATTTTTGCCAGTAAACAACTTTTCTCCCATGCAACCACATAGAAATTTGGCTGTTTTAAGGAAAAATTCAACTCCTCTACCACTTTTTTAGTGGAATAGAAGCTGTTTCATCCCACATAGGATTGCTGTTCTTATTTTCACTCTCCATTTCATTATTTACAACAATGAGTACATTTCAGACAAGTAGGGATGTTAATCTATGGACTTTGATGTGAGGTCCTGCAACTCTAATAGCTGAAGTTGCTGGGAGTTGTTTCAGCAGCATCTGGGGGATGACATGTTTCCCACCCTTCTTTTAAATATTTTTAATTTAAACGCTTATGCATGCCCTATCAAATCATCTGATGTAACACTGATTGCAAGTACTTATTAAATGAATTATAGTCAATAAATTAATGTTTGTTCTATAATTGCAAAAATACATCTCAACTAAAATGCAGGTTAATTCAAGGACTACTTGAATGGTTTTATGAAACTAGTAAGATGTATTTCCAAGTGGTGGCAAAACCAAGTGGAAGCAATGAGTAAGAAAATAAATGAATGTATATATAATTCAGTGTGCAAATTTCATGCCACTATTCCTCATATCATTAGTTACCATTGTGTTTGAAACTGTCCATTGCATAGGCTATGGTAAGCTGTTACAGCAAATGGATGGTAACCAACATTCCAGCAGCCTTAATATGATTACTGTAATGTTGCAATGTGTTGAAATGTTTAATATTGAAATTTGATTCAAGCAAGGTCAGAATATTGTTCTAAAACTGCAATTCCATTGAAGACTATAGGATAAAAACTACAGTTTTGAACACAATAAATGAATGAGTGCTACACATATCTCTCTTCAAATAGAGATATTCCGAAGGGTTCTCATTATTCTAATGAATAAAAACACTTATGCTAATTGGATCTAATGTTGTGGAACAAGATCTGCTTTCAAGAAAGCTCACTTAGGAGCAATGGCTGGATCTCTTCCTCTCTCTGGATTTCAGATGTCAGCAGTTTTGCAGCTATAAACCTTGACTGTGCTTCTGAATGTTGTCAGAATGTCCATCTTAAATTTAAAAACCGAATGTGCTTTAATTTTCTGTTGGCAGTTGTTGGTCAAATTAGTTATCCTCTTTCCTATGGTTGCTCTATCAGAAGGATTGTGGAGTAATTTGACTTTTAATAACTGTAGAGTACAGGTAGTCCTCAACTTACAATCATTTGTTCAATGACTGTTCAATGGTACAAACAGCACTAAAAAAGCTGACTTACCACTGGTCTTTGGACTTAAACTATACCTGTAACAGCATCCCCATGGTCACATGATCAAAATTTGAATGCTTGGCAACCAGCATGTATTTACAATTGCAGGGTCCCAGGGTCATGTGATTGACACTTGCAAGCTTCCCAGCTGACTTCCAACAAAGTCAAATGGAAAGGAGCCAGATTCACTTAACGACCACGAGATTCACTTAACAAGTGGGATTCACTCATCAACAGTGGCAAAAATTGGACACAACTCACTTAACCGCCGTCTTGCTTAGCAATGGAAATTTTAGTCTTAGTTGTGATTGTTAAATTGAGGACTAACTGTAAAACTATCATGATGTTATATTATTAACTGAGAGCGTCTACTTGGTCAAATAGGAGGAAAAGGTGCCTTTACTGGCCTGACTTGGAAAGTATTTTGATCATTTGATGGACATTGATTTTCCCTAGGCAAAATACTTACTGGTTGCTGTAGGTGAAGATGCCTCACCTTCAGTGGATGTAGTGATGGGCTTAGTGTCTGTCATAGTCAGGGTCACAGGTCTCATCGTACTGTGATGGGGAGAGGGTGCCAAAACTGGAGTAAAATGGCCAGGCATTTTCCCTACTACTTGACCACTGCTGTTAGGCTACAAAACAAAACCAGAAGAATGCCTTGTGAAATACATACATCATGCCTTCTTAGGGCATCCAGAATTCTATAGCTGTAGAGTATCACTCTGATTTACAAATCTTTCTTTCTGCATACAACAGCAGTCTTAATGTGGGTGCGTTTAAAGCTTGTGCAACTTTTTTATGAACATAATTTTCTCAAGCACCTATTTATCATATAAGAGACTAATGAGTAAAGCCGTGTTATTGATCCTAAATGTTTGGCAACATCAAACAAATAAACCAGTGAGAAGAACCCAAATGTTATCATTAGATTTGGCTGATCTTATGTAGATGACTGAAAAACTCTAATAAGTTGTGGGGGAAAAGTAAGCATACCCCATGTATTTTTTTTTCTTTTTTGACACGTTACCTTCATTCAAGCAATATATAAAAATAAAGGTGATGTAATTGAACAGAAAAACTATGAAAAATAAAAAGCATTTATTCAACCAAAATTTAACAAATGTACCATTTCCTTCTGCCATTGCTTTATGGAAAAAGCAAGTACATCCCTTGACTTTAATATCTGGCCCTTTGGCAGAAACAATCTCAAGCAGATATTTCTTCTAACTATATACCAGTCTCTGACATAGACTGGAAAAAGTTTTTTCCCACAAACCCCGATGAATTTTTTCCAGCTGAACAAAGGAGGTTGACAGGTTTCATCTGGGTTCTGATCTGGCCATTAAAGAACTTGAATTTCTCCTTTGTTTTTTCCTCCAGCCATTCCTTGGTAGATTTACTGAAATATTTAGGGTCATTGTCATGTTACAAGATTCGCTTTAGGTTGAGCTTCCATCTTCTGACTGATGGTCTCACATTATTCTCAAGCATCCTCTGATGCAATGAAGAATCCAGGCAACAAAGCAGCCTGAACTATAACATTTCCACCACCAAGCTTTACCTTTGGTACCAGGTTTTTCTGGTGAAATACTGTCAAACAAATCTATCTTTGCCTTGTCTTTCCAGAGCACGTTGTTCCAGAAATGCTGGACTTTGCCTAGATGTTCATGAGCAAACTTTAGTCTTGCCTTGAAGTTCTTTCTGGACAACAAAACTGTTCTCCTGGGATGCCTTCCATGTAGATCTAATTTGTGCAGATTTTTTCTAACAGTAGACTCGTACACTTGGGACATCAATCCTAGCAACAACCATATGATGACATTTTAGGGTTTTTAGAGACTTCTTTCAGTATCTTGTGTTCTACTCTAAGACTAAACTTGCTGAGAAAGCCAGGGCAAATTTCTTCAGCTATGGCAAATTGGCAGTTGTTTGAAATATTTCCCACTTGTAGATGGCCAGTGGAATGATTAATGTCCAATTGTTTGGAGATCATTTTAAATCTCTTCCCATAGGCATCACTAACCTTCTTTCTCAAACCCTCTTTCAATCTGGTGATATTGCACACGTTAACAACAAAAAAACAAATTAAAGTAAATGTTTGAGGTTTAAATAAGGCCGGTACCTTCCAATTGCTCCCTAATGAAGACCTTATCACATGCACCTGATCTAGTACATTTGATTCTTATTTTAGGTATTTTCTGTAGAAATTAAGTGCATAACTACTTTTTCTACATGTGAAATGCACATTTTGTTTATTTAAATTACACAATGGATTGAACCGTGGTGCCTCAGTGACTTAATGATGCTGGAGATGATCTCCGCTCCAGTGATTTGAGTCCTAACACTGTGTGGTGGGGATGAGCTCCTGTCATTCGCCTCAGCATCTGTCCAGCTTACAGTTCAAAAGCATGTTTTATGTGAGTAGATAAATAGGTAATCCATGCAGGCAGGCAGATTCCTGTTGGCTTGGAACCTTGCCAGTTGAGACACTAGTTTGTGAGGTAGCTCTGGTGAAGGAAAAGGCCTTAGATCAGGCATGTGAAACTCGCGACGTCATGTGACTTGCGCGACGTATCAGAGCTTTTTCGCCATTGCCGGCAATGGGGTGGGGGCGGCTCTGGTATAATGAAACCGGCCTGCGGGCCAGCAGTTTGACACCCCTGCCTTGGATGATACTGCAGGAAGAGACACTTGTTTTACTTTCTAGTGTGAAGCCAGCCTTCCTGTGGCGCACCTTGGAAAGCCTGCAAGCATGTCCTAACAACTTCATACACTAATAATAATCACCACCACAATGGACTACAAAATGTAAAAGGTGGAATGGTATTTGTTTTGTCTTGTGTTTTTTTTATCTAACAATATTGTTGAACTAAAGATCGAACATCTCTACGTTGAAATATGCTGAAAAAGTTTAAAAAGAAATAAATGGAGTATACTTATTTTTTTCACATGTTATTCAGTGGTAACAAGGAATAAAAGAGGATTCCTAATACAGTGATTTGGGACACCTACCAGAATCCCTCTACAATTTTGATATTAATATTATAGTCTGAGAGTTTAATTATTGCACAAGTACTGCCTATTACAAATGCAGATGTCTATTAGTTCAGCAGAAGGAACAACACTGTAGGTTAACCATATAATTAAGGAATAGTCAATTGCACTAAATTAACTGTAGTAAAATTAATTTGATTACTAAGTAAGATTGGTATATAATAGAATCAACCATTTTATGTTTATTGCTTCAACTATTTACTTTAAAAGGATGCTTAAAAATCGAGATTGTTCATTAAAGAATGCCCCGGCAAATCCATTTGTGTTCACATCAAAATACTGATAAAATACTTCTAAAAACCTATACCATTGCCTGTGCATGACACATGAAGTAGATATAAGAAATGGTGTGATTAAAATTAAATATATAAATATTTGTTTAATGATAAATAGAAGGTATGATTAAGAAAAACTTAAGCACATATATATAGTCACCAACTGAGCTCCAGAAAGATTATTTATTAATAATGTACAACTGCAGATGTATGATCCAGCTATTTTGAAGTATTATATTCTAGTCGTCATCTCTGAGCAAATGAAAAATTACTTTCCAACTTTCTGGGAGCTTCAATATAGATGTTGCTGAATGCTGAGCACAAACATGATATATCATGAAATATATTAATTAAATGTTTATTTTGTAAATTCTAAGATTGTAACTATTCCAAAATATGTGCAGCCGTAAAATCTACAAAAATTAACAGTACTCTTCCAACATTATATATATTAGCCTTACACAATGTAGGACTCAGGAAATAAAACAGAGTGAACCTACAACTAACAAAACTCACTAACAAATAAATGAAGTGATATTAGAGGTGAATGTTAATAACAGTTAAGTCCCATTTATTTTTGTTTTGTTTTGTTTTTATTTTTGTTTTGGTGTATACTGTACATTTGACTATACTTGCTTGCTCTATACATTCTTTGCTTTATTTTATTTTATTCCCTTACCTTTTAAATGTAGATTTTATGAGAGGAGATGCATGCAGACACATGCAAATTAGTTTAAGGTCTATACAGTAGCTACTAAGCACAGATTTAATTTTAAAATAATAAAAAATTATTTACATCATGAAAATGGATCAAACACCTAAGGTTCCTGGAACATAAATTTCTGCCACAGTTGAGAGAGCTTGTGCATTACTTATTTATATAGAATCAGCAGCAGAATCAAACTGATACAATATATGATCTGTATACAGGGTGATATGTATAAAACATAAGTATTGCATCTATCATACTAATGTTTAAAGTTTAAATATATTTATTTTACTTAGAGTGTCTATGTAATAAACTAGAAATATGACATAATTGCATAATACCACTGCAAATATACAATGCTAAAATACAGATAAAGGTCAGCAAATTATTTAATAAATTAGTTCAATTAACAAACACTGCATTAACTGAAATTAATATTCAAGAAATTAATTATCAAGAGATATTTGACATTGGTCTCTGACGCTGACAATTGTATGGGTACTATATCCCAACTACAGAATTCTCCTGGTTCAATTATCTTTTGATATTTGAATTTTAATTATACAAAGTACCCTTTGGTATGTGAATTCTTGCACAAGTACAAAAAATTCAGGTAATTACTGGCAAGACCAGAGATAATGCAAGTTACGTTTAATACCTACTGACATCAATGATATTTTAAATGCTTAACTGTAGGGTGAAGTATCACTTTAAATGAAATTTATAATACTTTTTAATGTTACAGGATGTTAAAAGAGTCATGAACATAATATTTACAGTATTCAAGTGTGATGTATGGCATGTGACTATATGGTATATTTTACCAGCCTTTAAAGGATTAGAGTCCAAAAGTGTAATGGTATATGGGAATGACCTTGGAAGATATACTGCCTTGGGAATGGTCAAATAAGAGGAAGTATCTTCGCAGCTGCATAGTGGGAAGAGCAAGATGCTCTGGATATACTATCCCTAAATTATTAAGCTATAAAGATAATGGTGGGACCATTGTACTTTCAGACTTGCATGATTTTGTTCAGGGCTTTTTTTGTCATAGAACGCTCAGAACGGAGTTCCGGCACCTTTTTTTGGATGGAACCTTGTAGGGTAGGCAAGGGGGGTTGTATGACATGTGTGAGTTCCGGCACCTTTTTTTTTTTTCAAAAAAAAAAAGCACCGATTTTGTTCATGTAGCTTTATAATAAAGTAGAATTAGCTTATCCAGCCTGATAAGGCTAACAAAAAGAAATTTAGGTGTCTCTTATACAGTATCTTTGCAATATTTTGTTCCGCCCTAAAATATTATTCTTCCCAGCATTTTCTCTGCATTGTTTCTAATTTTTAAACAACAGAAATATAGCCATAAGGTTTTAAAATGTTTTACTTTCATTTACTGATGATTAAATAAAACTGGTCATAAATATACAAAAACTGTTTAAATGAAGAACAATTGAGCATCTAGTAGCAATAGCAACTGAAATAAATTTGGCAACCCATCTAGAAATATCCAGAGATACAACTCAGTTAAGAGTAGTTAGTGATACTGTGAAAAGGATAGAGGGTGTTGGATGACCCTGTCACGTTGTGTAAAAGAACA